TAAATCCAAATAAATTGGTTATTATTAGATTCCTTCCCCACCTGTCGGTGACATTAATTCAGAGGATGTGCTTTCTGTCATAAAATATGTCATTGTGTCATAAAATATGCAATCTAAATCCAAATAAATTGGTTATTATTAGATTCCTTCCCCACCTGTCGGTGACATTAATTCAGAGGATGTGCTTTCTGTCATAAAATATGTCATTGTGTCATAAAATATGCAATCTAAATCCAAATAAATTGGTTATTATTAGATTCCTTCCCCACCTGTCGGTGACATTAATTCAGAGGATGTGCTTTCTGTCATAAAATATGTCATTGTGTCATAAAATATGTAATCTAAATCCAAATAAATTGGTTATTATTAGATTCCTTCCCCACCTGTCGGTGACATTAATTCAGAGGATGTGCTTTCTGTCACAGGAAAGTATAGCGTAAAGAATAAAAAAATAAGAAATATTAAAATTCTCAAATCTCAAAAGCAATTCATCAACCTTTGTTTCTTCTTCCTTTACGTTTTACGTCCTTTACGTCTTCACTTATTGTTTCTTTCAACAACTCAAATAACAATCTCTATGATAAGGTCAAACAATAAATACGTCGTCGAGACTGAAAAGCTTTTGTTGGAATATTCTATGTTTCGATAAGCAGATAGAACAATTTCACATTGAGATCATATTAACACTTTCAGGCATCAAATGTTAATATACTTAGCGTGTTAACAAACATTTTTGAAGTAAATATAAAAAACTAAAAAATGGTATTTTAATTGTTTAATTTTTGGTAGATTTGTTTGTTTCGCGCAAAGCTGCACGAGGGCTATCTACGCCAGCCGTCCCAAATTTAGCAGTGTGAGACTAGAGGGAAGGCAGGTTACTCTTTTACCAACGAATAGTGGGATTGACCGTCCCATTATAACGACCCCACGGCTGAAAGGGCGAGCATGTTTAGTGGGACGGGGATTCGAACCCGCGACCCTCAGATTGCGAGTCGAGTGCCCTAACCACCTGGCCATGCCGGGCCTTTTTTGGTAGAAAATTGGTCTTAATTGGATGGATTCTCTGTTTTTCTTATGTTACATGTCAACCAGCGTCCACCTACTACTTTCATTACGATTTGAGAATAAACATTTTAAGCCATCCATGTCTGTCAGACGTTAAGTGGAGTGAAAATATGCGTCTAAAAAATTGATGTGTAATAAATAAAGTCACATATCGTAAAAATTAAAATTATTTTAATTTAAGTTAAATTTCAACCAATTAACATTTTTATTGGGTGAATAGAGCTGTGTTTGTAAAGGAAAATCCTCTGAATGACTCCAGCAGTTCAGAAAACCGCACCAGTGATATTAATATTGAAAAAAGATACCAATATGATTAACTGGTTTTTATGTTCAAAGCCATGACATGAATGGAATGAATTTGGAAACTAACTTTGATTGTCATCTTCTGTTAACTTAAATTTTCCACATGTCAATATTTTTCTGATGAGATTTGAATTACTTGGATAAAGTAAACGCCACCATTTGTTTATTTCACAGGAAATTCGTATTCGCGCCGATGTGCCGTGGTATCAGTGCGAAGCGATCTGGACGGTCCCAACATCAATCAAGGTATGTTCTTTATGTTTTTACGCTAAATGACACTATAGTTTGTTCGTAGCGTTATGTCATATTTAATAATTTTGTTTTCTTGAAATCACAAGCATGTATCGAAAAATAAGAGAATAAACAAGTTATGTATAGATGAAGTTCCAACAATGTCTAATCATGTTGAATAAGTTATATATATTATACTCCGCTAGTATTGTCTGCTTGTTTTTAAGTTTTCGCAAAGCTATGTGCGCTAGCCGCCCTTAATTTAGCAGTGGCAGTCTAGAGGAAAGGCAGCTATTTATCACCACACACCGCCAACTCTTGGGCTACTCTTTTACCAACGAATAGTGGTTTTGACTGTCACATTATAACGCCCCCACGGCTGAAAGTGCGAGCATGTTTGGTGGGACGGGGATTCGAACCCGCGACCCTCAGATTGCGAGTCAAGTGCCCTAATCACCTTGGCCATTCCGGGCTCTCTCCGCTAGTAACAACGGGTTGAGATCTCTATATAATCCAGGGTGTAATATTATCGTTATTAACATGAACTAAAAACGTTGCTTTTTAAGTTTTTCCTGAAATGGCCAATTGAGTGGTTAGTGTGGTCAGTTTGGGTTCAGGGTTCACGAACCCGCTGGCACAAAAACGCGCTGCACACCTTGAGGTTTACTATATAGGAGTAACGGTCGGTCAGACTACTGTCCAAAAGGTGCCAGTGATTGCTTTTTACTAGCTGTCGTTTAATTTAAAATTAGCGATGGATCTGTGAAGATAGCGCTCTTAAATTTTCGCGAAAATTCTAAAACAAATAGTTCTAAAAATTTGAATACATGTATAAATATTGAGAAAATCAAGTAATTTAGCTAACTATTGAGTAAGTTAAGTTCTAAGTACTATTAGAAGATAAGAACAGGCATGACAATTGGTTGCTTATTGTAAGTTAAGTTCTAAGTACTATTAGAAGATAAGAACAGGCATGACAATTGGTTGCTTATTGTAAGCTAAGTACTATTAGAAGATAAGAACAGGCATGACAATTGGTTGCTTATTGTAAGTTAAGTTCTAAGTACTATTAGAAGATAAGAACAGGCATGACAATTGGTTGCTTATTGTAAGTTAAGTTCTAAGTACTATTAGAAGATAAGAACAGGCGTGACAATTGGTTGCTTATTGTAAATTAAGTTATAAGTACTATTAGAAGATAAGAACAGGCATGACAATTGGTTGCTTATTGTAAGTTAAGTTCTAAGTACTATTAGAAGATAAGAACAGGCATGACAATTGGTTGCTTATTGTAAGTTAAGTTCTATGTACTATTAGAAGATAAGAACAGGCATGACAATTGGTTGCTTCTTTTTATATTCTAAACAGTAACGATTTCGAGGACTTGGACCTTACCGATCTCAGTAGAACACCCGACTCTACAGTGGACTGGGACGACTCTGATATTGATATTACTGAGGTATACAGCTTAATGGTAAGTGTTTAACGATTTAAAATGGTAACGGCTCTAATATTAAAACTGAATTATTGGTACAAAACCTAGATATCTCAATCTCCAGCTATTCCTGAGATCGACAGATTAGTGGTTGATGTTGTCATACCAATAACGGCATTCACGATACTATTGGTGATAGAAACCGGGGCGAATCTAATGCTAACATTGCTGAGATCGACAGATTAGTGGTAGATGTTGTCAGTCGGTAACCAATAACGACATTCAAGATACTATTGGTGATAGAAACTGGGGCGAATCTAATGTTAACATTGTTGGGATCGACAGATTAGTGGTAGATGTTGTCAGTCGGTAACTAATAACGACATTCAAGATACTGTTTGTGGTAGAAACTGGGGCGAATCTAATGCTAACATTGCTGGGATCGACAGATTAGTGGTAGATGTTGTCAGTCGGTAACCAATAACGACATTCAAGATACTGTTTGTGGTAGAAACTGGGGCGAATCTAATGCTAACATTGCTGAGATCGACAGATTAGTGGTAGATGTTGTCAATCAGTAACCAATAACGACATTCAAGATACTGTTTGTGGCAGAAACTGGGGTGAACATTGTAAACATTGCTGAGATCGACAGCTTGATGATGAATGTTGAACGAGTACCCAACGCTTTGATCTTGTAATGGATAACACTCATAACAGGTACTTTCAGAAAATGAAATTGGGCTTTCTAGTTCATTCAGAGGTCTGACTATGAATATTGAGTAGAAAGTGCAACATCTGCTAATATTTCTTGTGAGTGAAGTCTAACTGCTGGAGATACATCACACACAATAAAGAATTGGCCTTGGTGGTATTGAGTTCAATAAATACTGCTCAGATGAGGACATAATAACATTAAAATATCAGTTTTGGTAAAGTATTGATTTCAACAAATACTAATCAAGTGAGGGCAGAACAACATTAAAGTATTGGCCTCTTTGAAGTGTTGATTTCAACAAATACTAATCAAGTGAGGGCAGAACAACATTAAAGTATTGGCCTTGGTGAAGTATCGAGTTCACTAAATACTGCTTAGATGAGGACATAACAACATTAAAATATCAGTTTTGGTAAAGTATTAATTTCAACAAATACTAATCAAGTGAGGGCAGAACAACATTAAAGTATTGGCCTTGGTGAAGTATCGAGTTCACTAAATACTGCTTAGATGAGAACAAAACAGCATTAAAGTTTTGATCTTTGTAGTGTTGAGTTGTAAAAGACCATACAGCTGGAAACAGAAAAGCGTGACTGACTTGACCTTAGAAAAGTTTAAACTTAAAAAAACACTGATCAGCTGAGAACAGAACATAATTAACATTTTTGATGTTAAAAAACTCTTAAGTTTAAAACTGCCCAGGGAACAGTGAAACAGTGTAAGTATTCTTACCTTAGTGAAGTCCCGAGTAGAACAAAGTCTTATCATGTGATAACAGTATAAACATCATTATTTTAGTGAGAAGGAACAACATTAGAATTTTAATTTGATTTAAATTTTCTAGGTGAAAACAGCTTCCAAATTTTAATATCTGTGAGGTTTTGAGTTAAATTCAGATTACCCAACGAGAAACATGACAGTATGGGTATTCTTATCTTATTGTAGTCTGGAATTCGATAAAAACTGCTCAACTTAAAGTAGAACAGCATCAAAATACTGACCTTTTTTTGAAGCATTGAGTTCAATAAAATCTGTCAAAATGACTGTGAATAACACATCAATAAAACGCTGGACTTGGGAAGCCTAGAGTTGAATGACAGATGTTTAGTAGAAACATGAGAATATAACTGTTCTTTTGATGTTTAATGTTTGAAGCAGCAGAACAACCATCAAAGCTTTTAACTTGTGAAGTTTATACAGTTTCATTAGAAAAGTATATAAGAAAACACGACCTCATTTTTGTCTTTACTTTGACTTGGTCGACGAAGCCTGCTATTCAATAGAGGTTTCTAGTATAGCCAGAAAGATTGGTTAGTTGGTTTTTTTTGGTATTATTTTTTAGTGCAAAACTAAACCCTGAGATGTCTGCGCTCTGTCCACCGCGGGGAATCGAGTCACGATTTTATCATTGTAAATCCGTAAACTTCAATTGTTGATATTTGATAGAAAATACAGAAATATTATATGATAATTTATTAAAAATTAGATTTTAAATTTTCCAGTTTATAATGACGAACAACTAACAATTGGAACAGTAATAAAGAATTTATTCTATACATTATTGTAAGGTTAAATATATTTATCGGATAATCATTTAATACAGTAAGGCCCCCCAGTGGCAGAGCGGTATGTCTGCGGACTTACAACGCTAGAAACCGGGTTTCGATACCCGTGGTGGGCAGAGCACAGATAGCCCTTGTGTAGCTTTGTGCATAATTAAAAACAAACAAACAATTCAGTAAGTTAAGTTCATTGATTTGATTTCATTCTTTTTTAATTTCGTAGTGTTATTTCGATACCATGAAGTTTTAATTTTACAACAACTTATATTAGAGTTGAATTAACACAGCTCTTCAAATTTTGGGCTTATTATTTTCTTGTGTTCGTAGACAATTCCAATCAATAAATTTTCCATTTGCATGTTCAACTCGGTGATCGAGATAAATTTCTTTAATAAGCCGAAAAGTTATACATTTAAATCACGTTTCCTGATACTGTCATTTCATATATTTTTGGTTCCAAGGAAACTTTCAGGGGCTACATTTTTTCATTAATATTTGGGCTACATTTTTCATTAATATTTGGGCTACATTTTTCATTAATATTTTACATATCTGGCATGGCCAGGTGGTTAGGGCGCTTGACTCGCAATCTGCGGGTTCGAATCCCCGTCCCACCAAACATGCTCGCCCTTTTAGCATGGCCAGGTGGTTAGGGCGCTCGACTCGCAATCTGCGGGTTCGAATCCCCGTCCCACCAAACATGCTCGCCCTTTTAGCCGTGGGGCGTTATAAGGTGACGGTCAATCCCACTATTCGTTGGTAAAATAGTAGCCCAAGAGTTGGCGGTGGGTGGTGATGACTAGCAGCCTTCCCTCTAGTCTTACACTGCTAAGTTAGGGACG